AATAATAATAATAATAATAATAATAAAAAAAGTTAGCTCGTCCTCAAATGGCCCAGCTTGCTCGCATCAGTCGTACAGCCAAGCCTCCAGCCAAATTTGATGTCTAATGTCAAAGGGCTTCCCTGCGTTATTTGGAGACCTAATTCACCATCGCTGCATTACTGCGGTTTGTAACAGTCACGTCTTAAAGGAAAATGAAACCCTGAGCCTCAACCATAAGCTTCAGCTGAAGACAACAAGGATACCTCCTCTGGCCTGGGAGCCTGGAGCTCTTCTGCGCCGCTCGTGGAAGGACTTCAAAAGCCTCCACACTTCAAAGCACGAAGCAAGACAACGCTGGCTTTGCTGCCCACACACCTTTGCTATGCCTGCCTGTGGCTTCCAGAGAGAGCCCAGTCCTCAGGGATTCAGCAGGGAGGGAAACGCGCTCGTAGGCAACTTGTGCTTTTAGAAAGTGTGTGCACACGCACACCAAAGGGCCAGGCAAATTTGTGCTGGGGAAATGACAGAAAAATAACCCCCCTAAAATCTCTCGTGACTTCTATCTCGCCAGGGGACAGAGTCTCAGACTCATGAATCTCCCCTAGACGTGAATCAAAACAAGGCTGATTTTACTGTTTTGGAACCTGCCCACATATCCATTTTGTGTTTTAAATACAGCCTCTCCGAATTACTCAATGAAAATCACAAAACCCAGCCCCAGAGCTACAAACATTCACCAGCCCTGCCCTTGCATCATTAGCAGCCCTTTTCAGCCCAGATAATTAGCATTCCCAGCTCCCTGGCTACCTGCCTGCAAGGAGAAGGGAGCAGACAGAGGAGCGGGAGCCGCTGGGACGCTTCCACCCGCCGAGAGCCCCGCGGGGCGAGCTGCTGCTCCAGGGACGGGTGGTCGCGGTCCGGCTCTGCCTGCTGCGGCAGGTGAAGCAGGCAACCAGGATTGCCGCAGCCCGTCCAAGCGTGGTGCTGGGGCATTTCAAAGGCTTTCAAAGCAAAAGCGAGGTGGGGGGAAACAAACAAATCACTCCTTGGAAAAGAGGCCAGGAGCAGTTTCACACGCCAGCAAGGATGGCACCGCGCCGGTGAGCAAAAAGGGAGTAGGTCAGGCTATGGGCAATCATCGGCTGGGGG